TCTTTAATATTCTCTCTCATTCTTCTACTTGATTATAGTTGAGGGAGTATCATCCATAGAGATAATTTAGAAAAAAATTGATAAATAGGTCTTATATTTAGGACCAAAATCAACTCAACAATTAAGTCCTATATTAAGGACCGTATGAGTATTATTTAACTAATTTAACTAACATTCTTAATTTACTAAAATCAGTTAATAAGGTCTTACATTAAGGATTGAAAAAGTATTAATTAACAGCTCTTTAGGTGACTTATACTAGAATCATAAATTTATTCTAAAGGGCACCCTACGATAGATATAAGAGAGAGTATTTGACAACAAAAAATCTTTCCAAATTGTCTTATACTCCCTCCAGTCTTAAATATAAGACATCATTCTTTGTCCGTCATGCTAGCCATTTGGTAGTTAGATGTGACATATGTATAATGGAAGGAGTATCTTCCTAATTGAGCAAAACACAATCCGATCCAATATTTAAACATACTTCAAAACAAAGCAATGTATAGAAAATTATATAGCACAACGCCAATAATTGTTGTGCAAGATCCATGCATGGGTGGGCAAGTTCAGATAAGGTCTGCGCAAGGCAATTGATGGTCAGATTTAATTAAAGTTTGTTTTCCCAAGATTAAACTCAAAATACCCCAAATCAATACCTATTGTTGACATTAAGCAATTCAGTAGATCCACTACTAGAAAAAAGACATTTAACGTCGCAAAATAACAGTGGTTAAGAAGAAAAACACAATGAAAAAAAAGAAGGTGGTATTTTTGTAAATAAGTGACCTGACGATGGATTTTCCATGAAGGTTATTAAGAAAACCACCGTGGAAAGTATTATGAATGACAGTTATTTAAATAACTGCCGTTAAAAGAACTTTCCATGGTGGTTTTCTTAATAACCGCTATGGAAAGTTTTAACAAAAGCCACGATAGGGTTCAGTTTTACTCATTTTCACAGTTTCACATCAGTGCGTTGTGGTCTCCCTCTGTCCCACCACCAACAAACTGTCATTATTAGCCATTCCCCCTCTTTCCCGCTATTTAAACTCCTCCATTTAGCTTGTGGTGTCTTGTCGCCGTCCACTGCCATTTTGTAACACCTTGAATTTTATGATTTAGGATGAACAGAAAAGAAAAAATTCATTAAAATTATTTAATAGCCAAATAAATTGGAGAAAATTATGGAATATTGTTTTTTAGGGTTTAGAGACATTTTGGAAAAGGTATTTCTCCAAAAATGGCTTAAATAATTTTAATAGATAATTTTAAGAGAAAAATAGTTAGAATGGGATTTTGATCCAAAGATTTTTTTTATGGGAATTAATTTAAGGGTCAAATAAGCTATTGGTTGAGGGAATTTCAAATTACCCTTTATGGATTAAATTGTGAAAGTATTCATTGCTTCAGAAAGATAGGAGACAGTGAGATTGGAATTGAGGAGTCATTTTCACTCCTCACACACACCTCACATGTGGACTTTACCTTTTTTTCCTTTTTAACCATCAGATTACTCATCCACCTCCCTCATTTCGTTTCTGCTTCCCGTAGAGAATAGAGTGAGAGCGCGAGTGAGAGGGAGTAGCGGTGCATCACTGGTGAGAGACCATAGGAGATCAAGAACCTGACATGCAATCACTGTTTTGAGCTTGGGTAAACCTCCTAATTACTCTTTTATATTTATTTCTTTCTATCTACGTTTAGATTCTACTGCAATGGTTGAGTGAGAAAGTCTGGGTAGTGAGAGAAACTCCTGATTTAAGCTGGAAACTTGATGACGATGACAGAATAATGTTGGTTGATGATGATAGTGTAAGACTTTTTGGTTGCATGTTCCTTTCTTAGTCTCTGTGTTGCTATCCAAATCTGGGTTATGATTATCAAAGTTCAATGTTCGCTTAAGGGGGTCCTCCGTGCTGTCAAGTTATGAAGTTAGTGAGAGGTAGTAGTAGTTGTATGTAGGTATGTATATATATAAGTATATATATACCCGAATGGTTGCTCTGTTTCTGTTGATCGAAACAGGGGTTAAATGTGTCTATGTTTGCTGTTGAATCTTAGTGGTTGAAGAGAGGAATAGTACGGTGTTGATGTATATATATTTTCTGGTTTAGAAAATAAGTTACTACTCATATAAGTTATCAAATAAAAGCAAAAGAAACCACATTTTATGGCCTGAAGATTAGAAAATAAAATTTTCAAAAATTTTCTTGTCGACTTACTACTCATAGGGTAATCTTAAAACTCTGGCCAACTTTAAAAATCCATAACTAATTCTAAAAAAATTCAAAATAAGATAGTTTCAAGTTTTATTCAAAGATCTTTCAATTGTCTGCATGAAAAAAATACTTGGTAGATTCACAACCTTGCCAGCTAAGTTCCATTTTAGCATAAAAATATACTGTTCATTTAATAAATTTTTCCTTCTCCAAATTTTTTATCATAACTTCAAAAATAGATAACTTTTCACACATAATTTTGATGATCTATCACTGTTCATTTAATAAATTTTTCCTTTTCCAAATTTTTTTTACCATAACTTCAAAAATACATAACTTTTCACACATAATTTTGGTGATCTACCTCTATTTAAAGCTCAAGATGAGCACCATGGCCAGATTTGCTCATTTACTTAAAATCTCATGGTCACCAAATTATAGCAAATAAAGTAACTCTAGCTTTTTAAAAAATTTTCCAGATATCATCCCTTTTCACAAAATTTGGCTTTAAATATTTTTAAAGCCAATCTCTTTATTTTCAAATGTCAAAAACAATTTTATAATTTTACAAAATTTCTCAAATAATTAACTCTCGTTTCTGTCTGATTATTTGATACCTCCTCATATTTTAAATAATTAATTTTGACTAATTTTTCCTTAATTGGCCAAAATTCTTATAATTAGTCAATTTACTAAAAATTTATTATAGGGGCATTTTCATCATTTTTAACCTCAAATGGATCTTCACACCTCATTTTCCATTTTCACGGTTTTTGTAGAATTTTGGGAATATTTTTTATTTTTACCCTTTTCTGACTCGAAACTTTTTTTATGCACACAATTTGTGAATAACGCAAGTATACGTGTTGATCAAGTAATAAAGAGTAAGTATAGAGTATTGTTCCCACAGAGATTAGACAAAATAGTGTTTAGGCACTAAAGTTCCTATTTTCAATTAAGTTAAGCAAACTGAATTACGAACGATCGAATAAAAAGAATAAAGACAGAAAAAAAAATTCAATATTAAAGGCAACTTAGAGTTACTAATCCCTTACTAGTTTCATAGACTTTTGCTTTTATTTAACTAATTAGTCTCAATGTTAATTTAGTTAATCTAGAGTATTTATAGCTAAAAGTGTCTTTCGATCCACTTATAACCCTCTCCTAAGTAATAAAGTTATGTTTAACTCAAATACTTAAGAGGATAAAATAATTTCACTCTTCATCAATTATATGGTGCTCCTAGGTATATTTCTATCCTACTTGCAACTTAGAAAAAAATCTAAGCCTATATTACTCAATCCTAAAGCCTACTTAAGATTTCTTTCGTCAAGGCTAACCTCAGTGCTCAAACTCATATTTAATGGTGGCCAAACATTAAACAGATATATTAAACCAAGATTAAGTAACCAAAATTAACATCAAGCATAATTCATTAAATGAAAATAAATTCTAATCTAGAAGTAAGTTCATAGCTACTCTAAGTCAAAAGAAAACTAATCACACATGGCTAAAACCAAATCCATAACATGAAAGGTAAATACTCAGAATAAAATAACAGCAGAAAAAGATGAAGGGCAGAAAGCAAAATGGTGTATAATCCTTCCTCCTTTCACTGCTGTCACCAGAAAAAGAATGAAGAATCAAAGATGAATGCTTCGCTGCTATCCCACTGGTTGCTCGCTACGTTCAATCCTGTTCGTCCCAATTCCTCGCTGCTGTCATAGTGGAACTGAGAATTACGGGTTGATTCCACACTGCTCTCTCTTCTCGCTGCCTCTTTTCCGCCGCCCTTTAGCTGCTGTTGCCAGAAACAGCACGAAGAATTTGAGATGCTCCCTCACTGTTATCCCCGGTTCCTATTTATAATTGTTGTGCGTCTTCTCTCCCTTAAATTGAATCCACTGCCTCCTATCCATATCTATCCGTATATCTCCAATATAATATAATACATTATCTTATATCATGATGCTGTGCTTAATATCACGGTTCCTTTTGTCTCCTTCGATCAATATAATACATATATATATTTGACTCATTCCTTGATTCTTGACCGGGACCCACGGCTTCTTCCTTTCTCCCCTCTTCACGCCTTTGATCCTCATATGTGATATATATATATATATATATATATATATATTTGCTGCATATGTTGCTCTTTTTGTCTCATCTTTTATTTGTGATATTTTCTTTTCTTAATAATTTCATATCTCCTGCATTAAAAATAATAAAAGATTTGAATAGATTTTATACAAAATCGTCTTTTATCTTATAATTAATTTAAAAGAAGATACATTAATAAAAGATGGTTAAATAGGTATAAATTATCTACATATTTCACTAAATATATTCCAAAATCTCTACCTATTTAATTATAAAAATAATCATTATCATTTTTAAAATTATAATTTGGTTCTTGCCAGCATTTAATCTCCGGAATCATCTTATTAAGGTATGTAATATAACCTTTGGCCCATAATGATCCTCATTTCTCATAATTGACCTTCAAAACTTTCATCAAGTTCTCTATTTTTCTTATCCCTTGGTTTCATAAAATTTTTTCTTTAAAAGTTGGTCCTTGAAAATCTTTCTATTCTTTCAGAAAATTTTTAGGACTCTTGCCATTAGAGGTTTGCTAATCTACCCATTTCAAGCTATTTCTTGCACTTCTATATCTAAAATTCAGATGTTACAGCTTCAGTTAAGAATAACAAAATTCAAAGGTACATTGGAATCATAAAATTGGAAGATGAAATTTACTCTTAATCTGCCTCATAATATTACATGGATCTATCCATCACTCATAAAGACAACTGTCGACATTTTTAATAAAGCATACGTTTACATGACCAAAAGAGAGTCCTATAAAAGTAGGTTGAATAAAATATACCAGACCTAATTGGGAATAGGGAAAATACAAATAAGGATATAGCTATTAAAATAAGAATAAAAATGAAGTTAGGAACCAAGTTTAAACCATAATAGTATGTAGTGAAGAAAGCACTACCAAAAGCTACCATCATGCTAATTATGGACATAAAAAGTACAGCCAATCCAGATATCAACTTCAAAGGTAGTGACTTGAGAAAATCCTTCTCTGCATAGCGTGAGATGATGATAGACAAGAAAATGAGTGTGGAGGTTGATGATGAGATCAATGCCATTGCATTAGACATGCCAAATACCAGAAGTGATCTTTTTTCCAAGTAAGTAGGGATTCCTATATTGTTAATGATAACACCTGGTGTATTGAATGAAGCATAAAACACTCCAATAGTAATAAGAGTTGAAACAACCATGCAAGAGTTTGCTACTCCCTTCATCCATGATTCGGCTTTACTCAATAGCTCTTGATGCTCTTTTGTAAATAGTTGGTGAGGAGTTAACCCTTCTGCATTCTTCATCTCTATGAATGATGGTGGCAATATCTTTTTCACCTCCTGTCATGCCAAAGGATATATAAATGCATAACATCAACAGAAAATATAAGACTCATAATAATAGGGACAACTTCAATAAGGTCCAAGGAAGAAACATATTGATTAAAAAAGTCACATAATTGAGCAGCATATAATACCAAGTTTTAACGTAGGAAATAACAATAGGTATCAGCTGCTTACTTGTCATTAAGACTTTTCAGCAATTCTCTTCCTTCTTTGGGATCTTATAGTCATTCTCCCATAATAAATTATGCTATTCACGCATATACTTGATTTCTCAAAATTTGCACAATCATGAACGGTCCACCTATTGTAAATTTAAGTCTATTTTAAAGATACACTAAACATTGTTACTAGTAAAATACCTCAAACCATGACAACTCAAGGGCCATCTGAAATGCTGCTCCAGAAACTAAGTTAAGTTGATCTGGTGGTGCTAATTTTGCAGCCATATGTAATAAATTGCTTTGGTCTTTGTTGTCCAAGAAACATGCTATGAAATCTTTGATTGGACCAATGTCTCGTAGGAGATTAAAGATATTAGCATGACGATGCAGAATGGCAATGTGAATTATGCTTTGATTTCTTTCATTAACTTCCCATATCAACTCAGGATAGGTACCCATAAGCACAGCCAAAAACTCACAATTCCCAATTTCTATGGCGTTAAATACTACTGGTGAAGGCACTCTTATGTTGCCCAAAATCTTCTCATCATCTTGAGTCAGAAATATACTCCATAGGAATTGGACAAGTTCAAGTTGCTTCGTTTGTTTCAAACCTGGGAAACACAATTTCACCATTTACTTAATTTAAATTAAGTCGAGACTATCAAAAACTCAAAATATGTTGAAAAATAAGAATGAAATATTGATAAGGTTGTAATGAAAATTTAACATTATTCGCCATCATTTCTTTCAAAAACAAATTCCAAAAGTTTAATGGATAGTAAATGCCAAAAGAAAATGAAAAGCAAAGAATTCACTTACCTAAAGGCTTTCTAGCCAATATATGCAATATTGTCTCATTAGCTTCATTCCTTCTAAAAGCAAGATCTGGTTTCTTTTTAAGCAACTGCAATGCTAAATCTGCACAAATAAAAAAAAATTGAAGTCATAATTGAGTCTGAATAAATGTAACACATGATGGGTTGTCACACTTCAAATTATAGACTGATGAAATCCTATAGCCTTATGCTTTCATAGATGTGTGTGTTCTAGGTAGATATATTAATATACTAACCATAGATTCCAGTATTGACACAGCAAAATAATAGTATAGTCCAATCGGCATCTTCAAAATCTCGAATAGTATTATAATATAGATGCCATGCCATTTCTCTTTTTCCTTGTAAAGCAGCCATGTGAAGAGGAGTCATTCTGGCGCCACCCCTTAATGCTGGCAAGTTCTTGTTCTTACTTTCCATTATCTTAACAATCTGCAAATTCCCAGTTGCTGCAGCAATGCAAAACGCGGTGTTACCATTCACATCTTGCAATTCCAAGTCTTGTGGATCCATAATCTTCACCAGCTCTTCCACAAAGGGAATTTGATTCGCTCCTGTGGCGACATGGAGAACTGTCGCCCAGCGCAAGGTTATGGCAGCACGAAGTATAGCCCAATCATTTTCTAAGATGCGCTTCGCTGCTTCCCAGTTACCTTTCATGGCCGCATTGTGAAGGGGAACGCATACCCTTCGGTATTTTTCTCTTGACTCTCCTGAACCACGTTAATATGGATGGTCATAAATGGAAGATTTGACTTCAACATGATATCTATATCTGCGTATGTAGAGAGATAGAGAGATTACGTGGGTCATCCAAAAAATGAAGGAGAGGCGTCCTAGAGTGATGAGGTGAAGCAGCCCTTTGTGGTTCTTGTGCTGGTATGCTAACGGAACTTACTTCTGCTTTTGCCATTTCCCTATGATGCAAACATGTGTTAAAAAAATATGTTAACTTTCATGCGTGCGCGCCAGGCTTCCTAAGTTTATTTGTATTGAATATACTGTTGAGTTTATTATTGACAGCAAAAGAATTATAAAACCGAAACATTCTATTTTCATTGATATATATATATGTGTGTATGTAAAGTAAGATATTATGTAATTGTAAGAAGTAATTTGAATCCCTAGTCAGTCTCTCGAAAACACGAAATATAGGTCTCATAGTACAAGTAAGTGTTTGTCTAAAAACTAAATATATTTCTTTATTTTTACCCCCTACTGTTTCCCTCATTTCTTTTTCTCACTTATTTTCTCTTACTTATCTTCATAAATAAGGGAATGTTTGCAATAATTACATCTCTTACATATTTTAATTAACATTTTGATCTCTGTGATTTGTTTAGTTGTTACTTAAGAGTTAAGAAGAGTATAATGCATCATAAATTAATATATTTTTTTACTTATTTATTGTTCATATATAAGGGAGTGGAAGGAACAGGGTGAGAGAGATGTAGACGGTAAGAGTAAGAAAAACTACTTCCGGTCTTATAAAAATTTATTTGATTTTTATTTTAGTTTTAAATATAAGACTCCAATCCACTTTGTCTCTCATATTTTTTTTGACAAAATATTTTTATAATAATAGTAATTCTAACTAATACACATAATTAATAAAGATATTTTAAAAAAGACAATACCTATTTATTATACTCTTCCGGTCCTAAATGTAAGACCCTTATACACGTGTATAAGGGTCTTATATTTAGGACCGGAGGAGTAAATAACAACTTAACTTATTTTCTTAATCTACTTAAATTAGTTAACTAGCTATATTTAAGACTGGAGGTAGTATATATGTTGACCGAAAAGACTATAAATATGGAAAGCCTCTTTTTTCTTTATATATGACTCTCATGTAAAATGGTTTTTTACATTTGACATTAACACTTTCTAAGAAAAGAGGGAAAAGGAAGCTGCTAATCTATGACATTAATTTCGATAATATATTATGAATAATAATTATAACTGATTTTATTTTTATATAAATAATAATAATAATAATAATAATAATAATAATAATAATAATAGGATAAGAAATTTACATGTGGATTAAGTGCATGGGCAAGCAATTGCAAGCGCCACTTTCTGGATCTGATGATTTGTGCCTACACAACAACGCCATATTTCCAGTTTTTAAACTACCACGCAACGGAAACTGCAGATAGAACATGTGAATGGAGTTTGAAATATAAGATGAAGAATACAAAAGAACAGTAACCAGAGAGAAAGAAATAAAGCAACATCAGCAATAGAACATTTAATTACGTACCTGAAAATACAAATGCTCGGATGGATGAGGAACTTGAAATTCCAGAGCAGAAAGCCGTGGTCAAGCCTGAACCAGTCGGTCCAATGTCGTCCACGCAAATATTCATACAGATACACAATCGCCAACGCAAGCGCCAATGTGACAACCTTATCTTCTTGTGTCTCCCGTTTCTTATTGCTCTGGCACTTGTTTCGAAGAACTAAAATAGTTACTTATCCTGTGTCTCATTAAGAACAATTAATATTTGTTTTAATATAGAAAAAATAAAAAATAAAAACTCCTGAATTACTAAAATTATAAGGAGATTATCTGAATAAATCAAATTATCATAAGAGACATAATCTCATATTATAAATATAAAATTTTAGTAAAATATCTGAAATGCTTCTAAATCAAATTGTAATTTAACTTATTAAAATTGTTACTAAAGTGAGCTTGTTATTTTTTATAATCAACTTGTCATGATTTAATCTATTGAAGTTACTATTTATTAAAATGAATTCGTCATTACGTATAATTAATTTGTCATTTATTTAAAAGGTATTTCACACATTTTACTAAAATTTCATATTTACAATATAAAACCTGATCTTTACTTATTATTTTTTAAATTGAGAGTCTGAAATCACAATTTCACATATTTAAAGATCTTTAATTATCATTTTTCTTTTAATATATTTATTAATTTTTTTAAATTAATATTATCATGGTATTAAAAACTGGACCAAACCGACCGGTTTAAAACTGAAACCGACGAACCGGCCACTTGTCCGGTTCGGTTCTTGCATTAAACCCATGTGACTTCGACATAAACCGGCAAACCCATTGGGTTGAACGGGTTGCTTGGGTTATATTTTTTCTCATCCCAGGGCACGATGCCATTACAGGGAAAAAAAAAAAAAGACTTCTATGAAGACTGAGAGAGAGAGAGAGAGAGAGAGGGAAACATTATAATGAAGAACCAACCTTAAAAAGATATAAAAAAAAATAATGAAAGAAATTACCTAGCTTGCAATAGATCAGATGTTAATCGAGAGGACAATACAAAGCCATTGATGGGAAGAGAATAAAATGCCCAGCAGAGCTAGAGAACGTAAGATGGAAGAAAGTGAAATGAAGCTGTGGCGGAAGAAAAAGTGGAACTGAAGAGGGAGAAAAGGCATGCGTAGCTGCGCGGGAAGAGGGACTAAGTCTGTGCATTGGGAGAAAACAAAACTTTGAAAAGCTCACAAGTCACGGGTTCCCATACATAGCTGACTCGCTAGCTTTTTTTTTTTTTTACCAAGGCTGACTCCATAGATCATATTAATGTATATTGCCACCTATTTTTATTAGTAATTAAAATTTACTTTTATATTATGTCTTATTTTCATTATCTATTTATTATTTAAAGTATTTACTATATTATTAAAAATTATATTATTTTAATTATATCGGTATGACTCATTGGCTCTTGACCTATTATCTTAATCAGTTTATTGACCGGTCCGGTTTTCAATACATTGAACCCTACTAATCTCTTTTTAACAATAATCAAGTAGGAGAAGCATGAAGAAAATTAAAAAATGCTTAGAATTTAAAAAAAATCATGTTAATTAATTTTACTAATATTCTTAATTTGAATATGGTATTTATGTTTTTTTTGCATTTATTTTGTTTTTTCTCAAATCTGGTTTTTTTTTGGTAATTAAATCTTCTGATTTTGCTCTGCTAGTATTATTAGTTTTGGCACCGGAACTAATAATTCTAATGAACAAAATTACTGGAGCTAGGAATAGCGCTGAAGGAGGATTGAAATTTAATCAAGAGACAGGAAAAAAAATAGTGAGCAAACTAAAAACTGAGGGAAAATGTGTCGGTACTTACAAAAATCTTACCCAGAACAAATACACACGGATATATTAATTTTTTTCTTCAAGATTTAAAAACAATAAAAATAGTTTATAAAATTAAGAGATTAAACTAAAATTTTGTATAAAGTTAACGGATTAAACTTTTGTTGATTTTTTATTAGCTGGTCACCGGAGTCCTAGTTACAATCCAATTATGTATGGCAGATGGAGGATGAACTAATCGAGATCAACTCCACATAAAAGCATATCTTTATGGTTATCCTCTTTCTAAAATATATGAATGAATGAGCATAAAAAACTAAGTGACAGTTGGATCTGTGTTTTCCTCCCGTGAATAACATCAAGCATCAACCTTTTTTTGGGGGGGGGGGATGACTCATCATATGTTTTTTTGTTTGTTTTTTCTTCTTTAAATTACTCATTAAATAATGACTCACATGGGTTGATATTCCACTGCGTGAACCACGATCCGTGAATGTTGCCGACATGCTGTTATGAAAAGCTGAAAGGTGACAAAGATGCAATTATCGAACATAAAAGCAAGATTTAATTATTAGTATTTGGCCAATGGCTTTGTAGCGATTTTCCCAAGAGTCTCCATTGTTCATGTCACTCTACCTAATTTTGGCCATTTTCTGGTTCATCTTTAGCGTTTCATCACATATTTTTATGTCACTCTACCGAATTTTGGCCATTTTCTGGTTCATCTTTAGCGTTTCATCACATATTTTTATGTCACTCTACCTAATTTTGGCCATTTTCTGGTTCATCTTTAGCGTTTCATCACATATTTTTATGTCACTCTACCCAGTTTTGGACATTTTCTGATTCATCCTTAGCCTTTAATTGGGCGCAGCTACATTGCTGCTACAAAAGATTCTCTTTCTAACCCTAGTAACAGTGACAAGCACTAATAAGTTAAGACTATAAACGAGATCATCCTCATGACCTCTTACTTATACACTGGGTTACAAGACTTTTAGCATATTCATAAATTTTTAATGACAAATTTGGACGTTGAAGCCGTGTCATTACGTGATCTGAATAGGAACACCAAATGTCTGGACCACCTACATTTTCATTTTCACGCCTTCTACCATTAAGCGCCGTTTGGTACAAGGTGTTAGAGGGTTTGGTATTGATTTGTTTAGGCACATGTATCTTTCTATTAGATAATTTTGTTTGAGATATCTCCTAATAGAAATTTGAATCATGATTCATCGTGTTACAAGGGATTAGTTTTTTTTTTTTTTTGTTATAACTAACCCAGTTGATAAAGAGATTGGCATTGATAGTAGTACTAGGATTGCCCGGTTTGTTATGTTTGCTAGGAAGAACTCACAATCCTAGGCTGCACAGTCCCACCTTTCATGGAATTATGGGATTGTGCAATAACACTAGCCCCCTGTATCGGAAAATCAGTCCTATAGGTGATTTTTTCAGACAATCGCCCCTCACCCCATCCTCTTTCCCTACCGTCACTCTCATCTCATTCATCCCTGCCAACGATGTCTTCCACCAATCCACGTCATTACTCTGACCCCCTCGTCTGCAACCTCAAAACCAGATCTGGTGAAATCTTTGAAGCGATCATAACAAGCTACAAATAGTATGCCCTTTGTCATCGGTGACAGAACAAGTAGAGAGGTAACAATACCAACATGAAAAATAAAAAGAAAAATAAAAAACCAGAAACAAAAATCATTCATAATGGAAATCACATATGAACAAAGACAAAATCCAAGGTGAAATCGAAAATCAAGATTGACAGAAAAATTGCTATATTCAAGTAGTCAAATCAAAGTTGCGCCATTGCTGTGAACCCCTGTAACCAGATCAAGAGAAATCACCACCCTTGACTAATGCTCTCCTTGGATGGGAAGAAAAGTTGAGAAGAAAGAAAATAGAAGGAAAGAAAATAAGGGGAAGGAAAGACGGGAAGGAAGTTGTGATCATCCCTCTTGCTTGGATGGATGAGAGAAAATAGAGAGGAGAGAAAATTAGCATATATCTAAATGACTAAAATGTTCTTATCAAAATATATCATATTTACAATTAAATTAAATTAAATATTACAATAGAAAAATTATACTAACATTAGCATCATCAAATAATTTAAAATCAAGTTATTTGATTTGTATATATTTTCAGATTATTATATTTTAAAACCAAATTATTTAATAAAAATATTGTTTTAAGATGAGAAAAAAAGTGAATAACTTTTTAAATATAATAAAAGAAAATAAATATGGAGAGGAGGGGCAGTCATGGAAGTCTTGTTTTCCTTCCCAAATCTCTCCATATATGGAGAGAAAATTTGAAGAGAAAATGAGACATGGGCCCATCTTGTTTTCTCCTCTACTTTTTCTTCCCACATATTTTTTTTCTATTCAAGCAAGAAAAAACTTGTTTTTCCTCGTGTTTTTCTCTCTAGTTTTCTCTCCTCCCTACTTTTCTCCCAATCCAGGCAAGAGGTAAAGGTAGAGGACTTGAGATTTGAAAAAGAGGAGGGGGAAGCTTAAAAATGGTCGCATCTCGGTTGGAAGCTTGGGGGTTAGATAGGAGTAATCTAGTCTTTTCTCAACTACTAACTATTTATAAAATAAAATTAATAAGACCAGTCCCTTCAGATATTACATGACACCCAATATAATTTTAAAGCCATTTCCACTCTTAGGGGGTGTTTGGCAATTTTCCCAAATCATGGTTTGGGTTCTCAAACCATGGTTTGGGAAAAATTCAGCCAAACACCCTATTTTAATCTCAAACCATGGTTTTGGGGAAACCATGGTTTTGCCCCCCAAAACCATGGTTTCGGATGAAGCTCTTCAGAGCTGCTTTTGGCTTCAAATTATTGATGGCTGATGGTGGGCCCAAGAAATATTACAGAGAGCAGTGTCAATTATTTGCCATTCCTTCACTCTTCCTCGATCCTACGCAACAGAGGTCCTTCACTCTCGATGCTTCACTCTGAAGAAAACAGAGCTCTTCGGTCCTTCACACCTCTGTCCTTCGCTCTTTGGTCCTTCACTCTCGGCGGCAAAGCACACTCGGCGGCGACAATTTGTTCCATACTTGCAGAACTGGGTTCTGTAACGAGAGGGGTGAAGCCAGCATTCAAACACTCCGTGAGCAAACTCGCACGATTCACCCTTCTTGCAGTTACCTTTGCA